TCGAGGCGCGCGACGGCTGCGGCCGCAATTCGCATCGTGGATGCTGCATGCATGGCCCTCCCGGCTGTCGATTGCACATCGCGCGCGAGCCTCTGTCGGCGGTTTCTTCCCGCAGCCCTATGCACACAGTATGTGCGACGGCGGGATCTTGTTCGACAAGCTGTGTGTGAGCTGTCTATCGCTGGGAGGACTGGACCGAGGCGTCGATTGAACCGGGCTTGTTTCAGAACTTGGTCCGGAAAGCGAAAGAAGGTGGGCGCAAATTATCCCCATCAAATTGGGCCCTTCGCCCAGCGAGTCTCAAGCAGCTGAGCCCGAAGTGGTTGCGCACTCAACCAAGCATCCTTTCCCATTCCGGTTACCGTTCGGACCGAGCGATCCTCCATGCGTCGGGGAACATACCAAGTCCTCCATCGGATGGATTTGTTGTGTGGTAACCCGGATGTTAGTCCCTTTCGTCGGTAGTAATCTGTCGAGTGTCGACCTCCTTGTTGCGAGGGTAGCGCTGAAAATTGAGCTTGCCGCGTGGTTGATGCTGGTGCCTGGGGCAGACGTTGGCTGTCAGCTTGCTGCTCGCTTTGGAAACAGCCAAGATCGCCAAGGTACGGCATCTGGGAAGGCACCGAAACGCTCGGCTGTTCTCATCGTGTGTCTGGGTGCCAAGCTCTTTTTTGTCTGGGGTCACCCGCGACGCCGTCAAACGTGAAGTAATCGGTATCGCGTACCCGGGAAAATCATAACGATGCCCCTCAGTTGCCCACTTGGGGTGGACATTGTCCATAGGAGGTTGACCTACTAGGGAGGGTGCTTTCATAGTCATAGTGTCATCATCGAGCAGAGCTTCGCAAGAAATCGCTTGAGAGCCTCGGCACCACAACCCTTTCAGCTCCTCCTGCAGGTTCCACCAAAGCCAATGGCTCTTTAATGGCTCTTTTTCTCTAGCCACCAAGTCTTCGGGGCCGGATGCAGCCGGTGTATCTCCCCTCTTGCGCGTTTGGATGAGATGGTGTGGCGGCCGGTGGATACAATCTCTAGTGCCCCAAAGAGCTCACCTCTCACCGGTCCCCATCGCAGGTCGTCGAGCACACCACCACGCCGGACCGATACACGCGTCGATAGACTGCAGTAGTGAGTTATCGGCAATGGTGGTTATCGACGGCAAGACTTGTTCGGCTCGAATGTGTGCCGCCCCTTCACCACAGGCGGAATGTGGCGTTTCCATCGCAGCCTTTCAAACGGCTCGCATTCAGACGTGGTCGAATGCCCTGCAGGGCTTCGAGGCACGTTGACCCGAAACAAAGACGGGGGGTCGGTTTGATGGTAATCCAACCACAGGGTTGCATTGCTGGTTAGTGCCCGAATGAACTGCAGCTCTCATCACAGGTCCAATCCTTCGAGGGTTGCGTCGACCGAACCGGTGAGCCTCCTCCTCATTTACGTGCATAAACCCCGAATCGACCCTTTCGAGGAAAATGCGATGGAGCAAAATGGGAGATTCGATACCACTGCGTGTGCGCCTGGGAAAACTTACTGTGTACTATGTGGTTAGTTATGGGCAGATTATCTGCTCATACTGTGGAGACACTCTGCTAATGCAGGCAAACAAACCGTGTTCAGGTCCGTGTTCAGATCGGAGAAGTTTTGTCGATGTGATGTGCGCTCGGAGTGGATGGGCACTGTGGGGTGAGCCCCGCCTTCGAGACTTCGCCATTCTTGGATGCAAGGGTGTTCCTGTCTTCGGTTTAGCGGACCTTTCGGAGTCCACCCACCCACCCCTTGCAAAAAGTTTGGCTGGCGCCGGCTCGAGGCTGGATCTCGCAGTTTCTTGAGACGCAAGACACCACTGACGAGTTCCTGAAATCTTGTTCCATGACGGGGCTTGCCATGATACGGGAAGTCCC